AAAAAAAAAAAAAAAGCAGAAAAAGGTGAAGTTCAGGCATAGTGTACCTTCATTCTCTTCAAATTTCCATTTGTGGCCCTTTGTCTCTCCAAATACAAACGTAAGGTTGCCATTTCCTGAGAATCGAAAGGGAGTTTGTTGGTAATGCTACATTTTAGCAACTAAGAATATCAGCAAGAACTTAAGTGAAAGCAAATAGTCCAAGAAATACCCTTTTCAAATTTTTTCTTTCCTTCACCAGCGAGTTCTCTTCGATTTTGAGTTCTGCCAGGGTCTGAATAAAAATATAGAAAATATGAGCTCATCATTAAAAGGCATGAACATATTTGCCAAGGTGAATGCCGCAAACAATTTTTTTCACCACGATCCTAGACATTCATCAGTATATATATACTCTCCATGCTGGCAAATCACCAAGAGTTCTTATGAATAATTAACCAGAATGGTCCCCAATTTGTAGGAAAATCAACGGGGTTATCGTAGATTTGCAATTATTGCAATACAGATGTTCCTCCACGGTAAAACAATATTCACACATAAGATACAAGTCCAAGACTCCAAGAGATTACATTTTTTTCACAAAAAAGGCAAATCACATTACACTTCCAATGGAAAATATAGGATGTGTCAGTAGTCAGTACAGTTGTATCATGATGAAGATGGTACGATCTATTTTACTAATGAAAGTCATACGTGTCTTAATAGAATCATATCTCTCTTCAAACAGCATAACAGAAAATACCAGTTATGGCAATCAACCATATACCAACCACGACACTCAGGGGCACCAAATATATTTACCTTCCTTCTTCGTGACTTCTTGGAGTCGGTTTTCTCACCATCAATGTTGACCTGCAACAGGAAAAGTAGGGCAAGAAACCGATCAATATAGGCCATTCAACATATAGCTAAAATATAGATGGAAAACCCTATAACCAAAAAAAAAAAAAAAAAAAAAAAAAGAACAATGGAATTTTTGGGTTTCTCTTAAATTTGCAGTGGCAAGATAGCTAAGTTATATTTTCACGCATCGTGTGCTTTTATTATGGATATACCACCATATCAAAGCAACACAAAAGACGACAAACTACCAATTAGCGAGAATTAATTAACTACCACAACACGAAATATGTGTCGTTTACGATCATAACATCCGTACTTGGCAGTTTAAGCAGAGATGAGTAATATAATCATACTATCCAATCATAAACCCATCTTACAAATAACCACCACCTACAATTTTTATATTTTCGTAGACAGCTAACAACCAGTTGACTGGTCGACATAAACGGAGAAGAAAATATGCCAATGTCAATGGCTTCGGTAAAAAATTGTTGAATTTCGAAATACTACTGTCATAAGATAGTTTAGTGACAAGAAAAAAAGGGCCCCAAAGGCCAACCACTCACCAACCATAACACTCAGTTCCACATCTCCTCCACATGATATTTTACCTTATCCACTAAAAAAAAAAATTATCTAAGACACAGAGACGCAGAGTATATGAAGAAGACCCTTCTGTGCATTAAGCTAAATTGTACAAGAAATCAACATCGCTTTAGACCACAATGAGGAATAACTATCGGTTATAACCAACGATTACCTACCATAACAACCTACATTGCATGAAAAACTACTGCTATACAATCACCAATAAATTAAATACTCAAAAGCTTTTTTTTCCAGCTTCTGAGTGACAAAATTCAGAAAATATAATGTACTTTGAAAAATGTCTCCTGATCCCACCAAGACTTAATTTTTTTTTTTTGGTCATAATTCGTATAAAACAAACGTTGTACAGCACTCATACGTGGCACACAGATGGCAGCAGATGATTCGAGATAGTGATAATCAGATGGGACACCAAACTATAAATACATGAGGTTGCATATTAAGTAAATTGGTTCCACCCACACCAAATCCCACCCCTCCCCTAATGATTTTCCAATTGACCAAATTACCCCTCCTCCACATAAAAAAAAATCACTTAAATTTCACTGAGTAGTCAACTACCCATCCAGACTGAAGCATCATCAATTTTGACGATAGGAGGGCTATTTTGGTCATTTCAACATGGCAGTGGAGATGAAGCATATGATATGAAATTGGGTTCGGCTGGCGTTGGCTGAAAAGCATTTTTTGAGGAGAAAAAGAAAACGTGACGAAAGTCGCTCAATCTCGTGTGACCTTCTGACCGTATAATATATGCGTTGAAAAAAGAATAACATAAGGATTTTTTTTCACCTTCAAAATTGGGTATATTAATATTGGGAAATGTTACGGTCTTGTTATGGTACCATCCCGTCAAGTGTTTTAACCGTTAGATACACATGTAGTTAGCATAAAATAAATAATCCAACTGTTAAAACACCCGAGAGATGGTACCGTAACAGGACCATAGCATTTCCCGATTAATATTATCGAAGAAGGGCAAATCGGTCAACAGGCCGGCGCCAGTCCGGAACAGCCGTGTGTTGGTTTTCAACCATGAAGGGAGGGTATTTTCGTCCAGTAGGGTCAAGTTGAAGGCCTCTCAAACAATGACTGTGACCTGGGAATCTGGTCCTTCAACCAGTGGACTGGCGGTGAAAATATCCGAATACGACAAGGGTATTTTCGTAAATTCAGGTTGAGACACGATTTGAGGATGGAGAAGAGAAGAAAAAGGACGCTCGTCTGAGATGACAAATCCCTCGCCGCCGCCGGGAAACTTAAAAATAAGACACACACACACAGAGACAGAGAGAGAGAGAGAGAGAGGAACACATTTATGCAATACGGCGCGTGTGGTGTGAGGCGTGGCACGAGTTTCGAGGCACAAACCTTAGATCTCGAGGTGGTGGAGGGTTTGATGGGCGTCGTGCGGCTAGACTCCTCCGAGCCGGCTCCTCCGCCGCTGAAGGAGGTGGCGCCGCTCCACGAAAGGGGCGTGGTGGGGCTGCCTCGATGACTGCTAGCCGGTTTCTTCGGATTGCCGTGTGCCGAAACGGGTTTCGACCTGCGCTGGCGGACGCTCCACCTCAGGGACAGCGGGGCCCGCTCGAGCAGAGGCGGCGGCGCGTGGTGGAGACGCACCAGGAGCTCGACGACCATCGCGTCGTTTGATATGGCGGCTTTGACCCACTCCTCGTCGGCGTCGCTCATGGCTGTTCGATTTTGAGAAAAACAGGTAAAAGGTAAAGGTAAAGGGAAGATTTTGAAGAGATGGGGAAAGGAAAGGGGGATAGATACAAAAAAAAAAAAAAAAAAA